AGAACCTTGTCTGCTAATTAGTTTTGTAAATTTTTGTACTTGTGTTACGATAAATTGCAAAAGTAATGTTTTGAATATGTATAAATAATAAAGCTATAATAACTGATATTGTTCGGTTAGAATATCTAAAATCCTAAATGTTTAAAACAAATTTAAAAATTAAAAAGTTTTGTTGTCAAAATGAGAATAATGAGCGCTAACAACAGAACCTTGAATCAGAAGAAACACGGAACTTTATAGAAAATTATACCCTTCGTACTAAAGGTGAATCTCGATTTCTTGATCATTTTTATTCACAATTGCAAGGATTTAGAATCTTCAGCTAGCTATTGTAAAAGTCTGCTTTTACGATTTTAATCTCGGTATTTTTAATTACTTTCAGAAGTATGCTCTAAATCTTTTATATCGATGAGTAAATGAGAATATTTGATATTTTCTTCTTTTTCCTGCTAAGATTTAAATCTGTATACTTTAAAATTTATTTTAAAGATAAAAACTCTATCAAGCCAGCAAAATCTACACTGAATGTAAAAATTTAGTTCTTATAAGTAAATTTGTAATCAGATGCAAGATGTTACCCATATACGAAATTCATCCGTTTCACATCAGGTTAATTTGAATTATTTTAAGATTTGGAATAAAATGCGACGAACTTCCGCATTAACAACAAACATGTATATTTGCTTATCCTGAGTAAAGCTAGACTGTGATGAATATAAGTAAAGGAATATTAAGGAATATCTCCTAATCAACAACCTTTTAACTGTTTCTTCACTAAAAATTGTTCATTTACAAAAAATGAGATTTTATTAATTTTCAGAATTTTTAACTGACATTTTTATTTGTGAAATTCGGTATTACAAAGAAAAAAAGAAAAAAAAGTTTTTAACGTTAATAGGTTTTTAGTTTAATTATTATTTTAGGAGAATAAATTAAGATTAAAGCTAAATTTTTAATTTTACGAAATAATCTAAATGTATTCGCTAGGGATTAAGGACGGATTGGTTCCAGTAAATAAAACTTTTGAGTGTTGAGTTAATAGAGAATGTGATGATCAATTTAAAAATTTTTTGACTAGTTATCAAACAAATTCGGTTCCAGAACCGCTCTTTTGAACGTCCCCATTCCTAATTGTCGCACAAGTAGTAAGCATATTGTAAATTGTATAAAAAAGTGATTTTTATTGTAGAAAGTTGTTAAAAAAATAATTCTTAATTTTTTTTTAAAACCTTTATCAATAACCAAAGTTTAAGGCCTCGCACATTTTCTGTTTTACTGTAATAATATCATTGTTTGACTCGATTTTTGTGATTGTTTTTATACTGGAATGTAAACATAATATCAACGTTTATTTGTGTTAATCTCGAGTTCATGGGGATTATCAATGCGCTTCAACCCGTTTATGGTAGTTCTTATTAGATTAAAAATTCATAATAGAAAAAGCCAAATATGCTTTCATTGATGGCCTTTGCTAATTGTGTTACAGTTACACAGTTATGTAGGTTTGGCGTTTTTTTGTTCTTTCAAACATTTTCTTTTTTTGAATCTATGATTTCATGTATTCCTCAGAAATGATTTCAGATATGGTTTGTTATTTTGAGTTTGTTCTTGACATCTAAACACTATTATAATAAAATACAAAGAATACAGTTATTATGACATTGCATAGCCACATTGTGCGACAGTAGCGGCTGCGTCAGCTGAAACCCTTCATCTCATGTAATCACTTGTTCATTAAGTGCGCACGAATAGAATTTATCCCCTTATGTCGCTAAATGATTTTTTAAAATTTGTCTATATTTTTTTCCAAACGCCAGTTAGAACTTTTGATGCGTAGTTCGACCATGGTTTGCAACTTCCGTATCTTTTTTTATCGAAGTCTACATGTAACTTCTAACTGTAGCCAATTAGCGCTTAGAATAATACACTAAATTTTATGGCATTATTGCTTAATTTCAAAAAAAATCGAAGCAATAGCATAAAACAATTTGTCTTCCTGTTTACTTAAAATGATATTAATCAAAGTTAAGTTTGGGCTTAAATATTCAGCTTTCGATGAACCCTTTGAAATTAGAGAATGAGCTTATATGAATAACGAAAAATGTATTTGTAAATTTGGAAATCACGAAATATCAATCATAAAGAAGTCTAACTAAAGTGGTAATTTTGTTATTAAAATGGAAAATTTTCAAACGGATCAACACGTGACCCTCCCGATTCGTAATAAAAATAAAAATACACACGGAAGTAATTTACTTTTTTTTATGTTACATCATTCTTAAATAGTAAAAATCATGAAGTTTTTTTTTCTAATAAAAAAGTTTAAAGTCATTTGTTAATGATTTGTATATATGTCGTGCAATTGGTTTTGAAAATAATTCTACTGAAATTTTATTTTTATAAGCCAAAAGTTGGTATAAAGTTAAATTGTTATTTGGTAATAATTATTCTTTACGTGAAGGTGAGTGTACAATTTTAATTTTTAACGTAATATAAATAAATCGGTTAATTAACATGTTACGCTGTTTTTTTTTTTTTTTTTTGTTTTTGTATTTTAGAAAAATCCGGGGCGTCATTGTATTTAAAAAAACAATTTGGAGGTGGGCAATATTTATAACTTTGCAAAATAAAATTAAAAATGAATTCTTGGAAAATTTGATAAACATTTGTTATTTATTATAGATAGTTATTGTATTGCGATATTTTTTTTAAAAAAAATAAATAACCGAGTAAAAATATTAACTTTAATAAGCTACTATTTATCTCATTAAAACATAAAGATCTATAGAATAAAGAATTCCTGTTTTTTAAGAACTATTTTAACAAAAAAAAAAAAAAAAAATCTCTAAGGCCAGCCCAAAGAAATTTTTTTAGATTCTCGTGAAATAAAATTTTAAAAGTGACACGGTCTTCCGGTTTTTTTGTTTTTTTTTATGTGTAAATTTTTTATATGTATTATTATATGTATTATTATATTCTGTATTACATAAAATAAAATTGACAAGTTTTTTCACATACCGCGCAAAAGCTATGTATCCCTGAATTATAACCAATCAAAAAAATTTTTAATGGATCTACATCACATCATATATATACTCACTCCCAGCTTTACCTTTACTTACTTGTAGAACGAGGAACCGAAATGGAACCAAGGGAACCATCCCCATCCCTATGAATATGAGCAATTTGCTTATATGAGACCTTTGCAATAGAAAAGGGAGAAATTCCCGAGTTGGTGTCAATACTGCAAAGTTTAATGATACGATGAATGATGGTTTGCGGGCGGATAAAAAACTTTATGAAAAGATATTGGATGTTGAAACAAAAGAGTTATTTTTTTTTTTTATTTTGCGGACGGATAAACAGAGATAAAATCACTCAGATCTGACTCTGATACTGCATCTGATCTAAACCTTTCCTGGATAAAGATAATGGAACTTTACAACTTTATTATCCGTATACCCAATGTATAAATTATTATACTATAAAAAAAATTTTTTTTTTCCGGTCCCCTTTTAATTATTATATTGTAACCACTTTAATACTTTAATAGGCAAAAATTTGATGTTAGCAGATGCTATGAGATTTCGCGAAATTCCATGATATAATTATTGTGAATAATTATAAATAGCACGGTTTTAGAACAGTAAGCGGAGATATGATAAGGAGATGCATTTTTATTATTTATAAAAAACAATATTTTATACTTCTTATTTTTTTTTAAAAAAAAATAATTATGCCTAAAAAGATAAAGCAAAAATACAATAAACTTGAAAATAATGACAACTCAAATAGTATTCTCAAACCAACTTTCCCTCCCACTTTAATAGCAAATGATCTCATCAAAAATGCCATTAAATCCAACAAACCTAACAAAAGTAGAGCAATAACATTTCCAAACGCTTTTATCGCGTATAGAATGGCATTAACCAAAGAATATCGTAATAAGAACATTACATTACCCCGTATGGGCCAACTTTCTAAACTTGCAAAAAATTCATGGGAGGAAGAATCAAAAGATGTCAAAGAATTTTACAATAAGCTAGCTGAGGATGCCAAATCTTTGTATAATTCAAAATTATATATGATAAGCATATGGTTGATCCTACTGTAAATGATCAAAACAAGCAATTCAGGGGTGGCGCAGAATCGGTTTACGTCTATCAAGATACCGAAGTAAATACCGTTAAGCAAAATTCATCAAGTGAGCATTTTCCAAAAGATTCTTCTCCCAATTATAGCTTTTACGAAGATCCGTATGGACAGAATTCATCTGATCGGGAATTACTTTATATACTTGATTTTCATTTCACAATTAATCCACACGATTAAAGCATAAGTAATAATTTGGGTGGTTTCCGTGGCATTAATCTATTTAGAAAATGAATTGGTTAATAAATACATGTTTATTATTATATTTATTCAAATTTGTATTTAATATATTTTAATTTATCAGTTTATCTAATTTACAAGTAATAAATGTGAAAATTCTGATTGTTCATGTACAGTATTTTCAATTTGGATTTTCCTTTTTTTTTTCGCATTGAATTTAAAAATGTAAAATTATAAATATAAATCAAACTGAAGGACATAAATAATTGTATATTAAATTTTTACAAGGTACTTTTCACTTAAATATTATGCCAATGATGCATAACAGTTATGCGCAGTTTCTGCTGCCATTTAACTTCTTGCGCTATGCAATAAATCTACATAAAAATCTTCAAGTTCTTTATGAATATTATATTGGATAATAGGTTTTAATATGTTGGCTTCCTTATTAAATCATTTATCTGTATTCTTTACTCTTGAAAATTATTGAAGTTTTTTTTATTTCTTCATCTGTAGGAATAGAAGTCATTGCAGTAATAATGATAAAAAAAAAAAGGAAAGGAAATAAAGAAAGTGTTTCAAAATGTATGTAGATAAAAAATATATATATATATAACGTCATACACAATGAATAACAAGTATTTATCGGGTATATAACAAACTGTATAGTAGTGGTTTTATATACATACAAGTGTAATATCTAAAAATGTCGATCAATTTAAAAATATCGGTATAAAGTGCTCTAAATAAATAAAAGAACCTTCTTTGCTAATTAATTTTGTAGCTGATCTTGTTCGGTCAGAAAAACTATAATTTTGAATAAATAGATAGATTTTAAAAACTAAAAAGTTTTGTTGTCAAAATGAGAATAATGAGCTCTATCAACTGATTCCTGAATCGGAAGAAACAGGAATTTATACCTTCGTACTATAGGTGAATCTTGATTTCTTGATCATTTTTATTCTTCGGCTAGCTTATTTAAAAGGTTTTTACGCTTTCAAAAGTTTTTGCGATTTTAGAAAGTTGATCTAAAGGGTAACTAAATATTATAATCTCGGTATTGTTTAATTAATTAAATTTATCTTACATGCGATAAATGATCAGAAGAATGCCCTTTTTTTTCCTGCTAATATATTAAATATGAATACTTTAAAATTTTATTAAAGAAAATACACTCAAGGAATAAATTTAGCTCTTTTGTAATTTAAATTGTTAAATAAACATGACTTGCAAGCTTGGATGCACAAAATTTTACCACCACAAGGGGTAAATTTATTATGTTATCCATGTACAAAATTTACAACAGGTTAATTTGATGACGTTATCATCTTATAAACATTTTTGAAAATTAACTTATGAATAAACAAGGAGAAGATTAATGCAATGTTAAAGATAGTTTTATATTGTCCTCTTAACCTGAGTAAAGCATTTAACTCTTCGACTTTGATGTGCTTTGATGTTATTTTTTCATAAAGGACTATCTCCTAACCAACAACCTTTTAAATGTTTCTTCGCGAAAATTTAAAGCAATTTCATGTGACACGCCATCAACTTTCAATTTCATTACAAAAAAATGCGACTTCATCAATTTTCGAAAATTTTTAACTAACATTTTTGTTTGTTAAATTTTAGTACTACAAAGAAAAAAAATGTTTTTAACGTTTTTAGCTTAATAATCATTAATTTAGGAGATAAAATTAAGATTAGCTCAATTATAACTTTACGAAATAATCAAGACCTTATAAATGTATTTTTGCACATGGTACAGTAGTAAGTTTAGTTACACATTATAAACTGTATAAAAAAATTGGTTATTTTAATTTGTTGCAGAAAGTTGTGTAGGAATTAATTATTTTTAAAATCTTTAAACACCTCGTACAAATTTTTTTACTGTAATAATATTGTGACTCAATTTTTTGTGATTGTTTTTATACTGGAATGTAAACAAAACATCGACGCTCCTGTGTATTATCTCGAGTTTCATGAGGATTATCAAATGTACGCTCCAACCTGTTTATGGTAGATCTAATTAGAAGATTAAAAGTCAAAGTAATAGAAAAGGCCAAATATTCTTTCATTGATGGACTTTTCTAATTGTGTTACAGATACACAGTTACCATAATTCTGTGTAGGTTGGCGTTTTTTTGTGTCCTTTCAATCAACATTTTCTTTTTCTGAATCTAGCAATATGATTTCATTTAGTAATTGTGCAATTATAAAATTATTAGAGTTTTATAAAATAATCAATTATTGAGTAATACCATAATCACTGACATATATGGGAGGTTTGCTATTAAAATCACGTTACGGATCATATGATTACTATCAAACCTTCCATATACTGTACATATATCGAATACAAAATCTCTACTGGACCCTACTAATTTTAGGAATATTTATATAAAATATTATGAACAGATATAAGTTAACTACATAATTAATAATCTTTATTTTTATTTTTTTTTTTTTGAATTAAAATTATTTGACTTAGATCTCCATTTAACGTTAATCAAAAAAATAAATAAATAGATGACCCACTATCTTCACAGAAATTAATCACTAAAACTAATCAAAATAATACTTTCATGTTAACTCGGGTAGAAGAGAAAGTCAGCAAATAAAAAAACAAGATCAAAGAAACTTTTGAAAACAAGAAATATGTATAGATACGTCCACATTTATTTAGGTCGTG